TCATAGCTACGCTGTGTTAAAGAGCGCACAACGAAGATGAAAGGTTATATATCATAAGTCTTTAATCCAACAAGGATAAATCCAACAAGAGTAAATCCAAACACAATGTAACACAGCAACATTTAAGATATGTAGACATAAGACCAGAAAAACTCAAAGTGAACATACAGGAACTTAAGTACTCAGACCAAACAAGGATAATTAACTAGGCACACCTGAACAGAATAATACAATTAACACAACAAGGGAAACAGTGCAAAAGGAAAACAAAGTCCAAATTAACAGAAACCGTGACAGTAAGAGTACAATCATTATAGTGCACTTCTGTTTTAATGTTGCACAGTACACATATAAAAAAACTGCCATTAAAAGCATGTTTAAAAAATAAATTGCTGCGCATGTAGCCTTCTTAAGACTCACATCCAGATCACCCTGCATCAGTTAACTGTGTTGCATCCTACTAAAAGTAGCCAAATTCTATTAGGCCATATTTACAATTTCAAGCTTCCATTTCAATTAGCCAGTGTCAAGTGTTACATCCAAGAAGTGGCCTCACTTGTCAAGTGTTACAACCAGAAGTGGTTCTCATCTGTTTTATAATATATGGGGCATATTTGCCATGTCAAATGTGGGACAAGCTGGCTTACACACTGATATGCCAATGCTGACTGTGCCGTATATTTGCCAAAAGTGGCCCAAATTATTATTAATTATTTGGGCAATATTTGTCAATCTATATGCGAGCCACATTTGCAGCATCATATAAGGGCCACTTTAGGCTCAAAACCACATTAGCCAGTGCTTACCATTAGTGCTGGGCGGTATACCGGTTCATACCGAATACCGTAGGGCATTCTAAGTCAATATACTGCAGTATTTCCTCTCTCAATCAGTAGAAAATATGGTTAACACTCGGTCATGCATGAAAAAAAAAAATACCGTCTTGTACCGTGAAACCGGTATAATTTTGAAAAATACCGTGATATAAATTTTTGGTCATACCGCCCAGCACTACTTACCATGCCGTATCTTTCCCAAAACTGGCCCAGATATGGTTTAGGATAACTGGGCCACATTTGTGGCATCATATGTGGGCCACTTTAGGCTCACTGTGCCATATCTTTGCCAAAACTGGCCCAGATACGTTTTAATGTACCTGGGCCACATTTGCTGAAACATATGTGGACCACATTTGGTTTACACCCTGATTAGCCTTTGTCGATAGTGCCACATTTTTGCCAAAGGTGGCCCACATTTGGTTGGCACTATTTGGGCCATAATCATTGTTTACCACATGGGCCACTTTAGGGTCACATTCAGATTACACATGGCTGTCAACACCGCATCTTTACCTACAGAGGCCCACATGTGATTTGATACATTTGGGCCATTTTTGCTGTTTTACATATGGGCCACTTCAGGCTTACATCCATTTTGTCCGGGCCATAAGAAGGCCAGCAGTGTCATTGTCATATCATTGCCTTAAGTGGCCCACATCCGCATGCTCTCTGGGCTGTGTTTCACGTCAACACGTGGCTTTTTGGCTAGGTTTAAAACAAGGAAAAGTGCACTTTTAGATAAACAAGGCAACATAATAGATGCACTTGTGGAGGTAGAAAAACAAAGTTCTTTAAGACTCGAGAATACAAGACTAGAAATGAGACTGAAGAAGAACTAAAGAAAATATTACAAGTAAATATAAGCAAGATAACTGAAGATCAAAAACCAAAAAACAAAAGAGAGAAATCAAGAGCAAAAACTACAGCAAGGATATACAATCACAGCAAATAACAGGGCAAGACTGGAATACAGAGCAGCAAATCAGTATAACGGTCTCTATGGCACAAGACGAACCAGCCAACACAAGAGGAAAAACCAGCACAACATAAAGGGAGGAAAGGAGGAAAGTACATGAGGGCCAGGTGAGCACAATTAATGAAACGAGAACAAGACAAGGGTTAAACAAGAGGGCGTGCCCAAGGGAAGAAAGGAAGTGGGACCAAAGGAACACATGGCAGACACAAACAAGGACAAAGCAATGTGTTAAAACACAAGACAAACAAAGACAACTAGGGATATGCCGGTATCAAATTTTCATGTTGCGATTAATTGCTAATGCTTTTATCACGGTATGCGGTATTATCACGGTGTTGAAATTTAGTTTTAAAAAGTGCTGTCATAATACAGTATAACAGGTTTAATAACTTTTTTTCTTATAACAAAAATAACTGAACATTTAAATGCAATAAAGCAATACAGAAAAATTTATAAAGTTAAAAGTTTTACACAGATTAAAGTGCAAAAGAACTATAAAGACCAATAGGTATCACTTTACAATAAGACCTGATTAGTTAACCTTAGTTAATGCATTAACATTCTGTAGCTACATTTGCTACAGAAGTTATTATTCTTTGTTTAAAAAATACAAGTCTTAGTTCATGTTAGCTCATTAAATAACAGCTGCAACTCTGGATTTTAACAACGTGTTATTAAATATTGTAATTACCTAAGATTAATGAATGTTCAGAAGAGTTTTTCATTGGCAGTTTATGTTAACTAATGAATTAACTAATGTTAACTAATGAAGCCCTAATGTAAAGTGTGACCGAACAATAAAGAATCAAAACACTTTCAAACAATATCTAGGGCATGTTGTAGTCCAGATTAAAATGTAAAAAAAGTTTGAAAATAAATAGCCTATTAAGTCTAAATATTTAAGTATTTGGCGCTGTGATGAACATCATAGCAAATACACAAATCTGAATGGCTATTTAAATCATTTAAACATTTTTCAGAAACAGGAAGTAGTGCAGCTGCTTTGTTTACAGGGTTTCCGGGGTAACGGCTGCATTTAAATGAATTATTATTATTATTATTTCTGCAGTTTAGCGCCATCTAAAGACAACATCGACAAAGCTGCCTGGTCAGAACCCTCACATATGGTATTATGTACTACTAGTACTAAATTAAATTATTCATTATCATTTTAGTTTTCTCTATTATTCTTATTCTTTATTCATTCTTAATATGACTTCTTTTTCTGTATCCAGCTGTATCAGGTGGCGGACCACTTTCTTTTCTCCCATTGGTAGTCACTGCATCACAGGTTATTTGTAAATATATTGTTATTATTGTTGTTGTTATTATTTCTCATGCATCACAGCACAGGAGGTTTTGACCTCCTTCTAGCTCTACCAAGTTCAGCACAACACCTCCCAAACAAGGTGTCAGCCTCCCGCGAGAAGCTGAATCGGACCCCAACCGTCACCCACCGAGCGAAGCTTCACTATTGATCTTCACTGTCAGTGAGAGATATAAAGCAGGTATTCGCTATGGTAAGAGTGACTCAGCTGAGCAAGGGTGAGTGAGAGTGTCACACCACCTGACGCCGTGATTCTTTCCCATAGATAGGTGTGGAGGGACACCACTCAACATCACCATCCAAGACAGCGATCCCACGGGAAACTGAACACAGAGGCCCATCCGTCACCCACTGAGGTGCTTCATCAAACTCTGTGATGAGTGAAGCTGTGATGCAAAGACTACCAATTCTCTGAGATGTTGGCTTCTGATAGGATGTCCTGCTTTTGTATTATTATACATTTTATTATTAGTAAGTCACTAAAGACTATCGAGTATTTTCTACTAGGGCTGTCAATTGTTTAATTTTTTTATCTAATTAATTACACAGTGTGGCAATTAATTAATCTAATTGATCACATATTAATCGCACATCAAATTGAGAAATTACCCGCAAAAGATATGAGAAAAGCATGAAATCGATATTTCAGAAATTAGATTTTTTTTATTTTTTTTTTTATTTTAAATTTTTGGGTGACCTATCCCTTTAATTAGTTTTTTTATTAATATAGATTTTCTATAATAAATATGATTTTTAAATTAAATTACACTCTAAAAAAGAAACTAAAACTGCCAGTAGGTGGCAGTAAAATGTCTTAATGAACAAGTCATTGAGTCATTTATTAATAAATTGGATTCGTTCAAACGGCTGATTCATTCAGGAATTAAGTACATTTTTATGAATGGGTAATTGAATCCGACACAGCCGCCTCGCCGTTCCGAGAGTTTTTTTTGCACACGTCAGCATGACATCAGAGCAAGTCGGAGGTAAGTCGGACACTTTTCTAACCGGCATGCATCTCGCGGTGATCACCGGTGATCGGTTCTGCGCAGATTTTGCTCATCTCAAACAAGCCTACTGGTTCACCCCATTCTTCAAAAGGCGGATATATTCAGAAATTGTGTTTTTGTGAGCTTGGAAATGCACAACACTTGTGATGTGGTTTTAATAGGTAATATTTGCGTCGGCAAACTGAGCAAAAACAGACAAAATTTTGTTAAAATATTTTGTTCAAAATAGAACACAATATTAACTTCTTATTTGAACCGTAAGTTGCTGCCGACTTTATTTCAGTGTAGTGACGTATTTCCATCTGAAACGGAATATTGAACAGAGAGCATGGTTTTATTTTTGCGCTCCTCCTCTCTCTCTCACTCATATCAAACTAACGGTTGGAGGGGTTGTGTTTAAAAGGATATTCTGCCCAAGCCGTCAAACTGACATCATCAGAAAAGGAATACCATTCCAGAGCAGAAGCAAATGATCAGATTTTGATTAAAGATTACCAAGACAAACACTTTTTTCAGCGGATTAACTTGCACGGATTAATTGTTCACATCAAGACTAGCAATGTGCGCTAGTAAAATAAATAAAGTCAAATTTGATTTCATGCCGACTTTAACTGCTGTATGACATCATTCGTGAAATCACTTTTGCATGCTATTGGGGACAAAAACAGCACTCGTGTGATATCGCTTAACATATAAATATGAGAAAAAAATCATACAGCGGCATTTTTTTGGCCTAATATCTTGAATTTTGGGGGCACATAACTGCATCTATGGACTAGTTGTTGTCCTGCATCACGTAGTCAACAGTCAACTGTATGAAATATAAGACGACGTAACGTTACAGGTCTAGGTGCGGGGCGGTGCGTTAACATATTTTAATCGCGTTTTTTCCCCATAACTAATTAATTAAATTAAGGTTGTTACAGTTCTTGCTGTGATCGGGCCTGACGCGTTACGTCATACAGAGGATTTAGAACACGTCAAAAATGGTCTCCGTCTCTCGGCGATGTTGATTGTTTGTCCAGAATCGCATCTTTTAAACTGTCATGACTCAGATTTTTTTAAATTAGTGCAACAACTTACATTCTTTGAGGTTAACAAAACAAACCCTCATTATTATTTTCAACCCTCATTCTGACCCTCTGTCCGATATTATCAATGTTTAAGGGGTGGTTCCAGTAAAAGGCCACTGTTATGATTGTCTAACGTCATTCGATAGGACAAAGTATCATCCACTATATAAATGTACATGAGCTCTGTTATAGATCAGTTGTACTAACGCCCCATGAATAAGTGTTTAAAAACATTATCCATACAAAACAAGACAAAGCATTATGAAATTGTTTACTCACGGTTTGCTGCAGCTGCTGTCAGATTCAATACAGTTGGCTGCTTCATCCTTCAACGAATGTTTCTTTGTGTGAACTCTCCGTACCTCGTTTACAAAACAATATACAGTCAGTGCACCGAAGGAACATACGACGCGAACTGGGACGGCCTAGGCAATTAAAAATACACGATCCATTCCTCCCCGATACTGAACCCTTCTGAAGTCTGCAAAAACACAAATGAAGTAGTGTGCACTGCAGACATAAAGCGACTAAACGCAAGTGGGCGTGGCCTATGGTTAAACAATGTGATAAAATGATTGGTCGATGCCTTGTCATATCCAAATATAGTCAAGACAAGTAGTAGTGGCTTATAATGGTTGTGACTGATCTAGGGTTAGTTTTATAATTTAGTTTCACTTTTAAGTTAACAGATAGATGCTAGTTAATTGTTATATATAATTGGCCTATTTACCTGCCCCTGGGTGAGAGGACACAATTAACAAGCACTATATATTATTAAAAGACTCTTCATATTTAATAGTATTTAATTATTTGTATATTTCATTCAATAGGTTACACTTTATAGAAAAACTTTTGCTTTATAAAAGTTGTTTTAACCACTGATCTATAATAGAGAATATTTTATAGGTCAGTGGTTAACCCACGCGTTGACTGTGTTTACGTTGCACGCCGTTTTGACCAGCGGGTGTCGCCATTGTTTCGAGCGCCTATAAGAAAGAGTGAATCATTTTGTGAAGCAATTGGTTCAATTGATTCGGACCTCAGAAGCTTCATCACTATTAAATTCAGTTTGAGATTATCTTTGTTTGGTACCGTTGAATGATGCTGCAACGAATTGTTGGTCGTTATAGTTTTCTTTTATAAAAGCACAGTGATGTAGGATGGCTAATGAGTTTTAGTATATGTAGGAACTTGAATACAACTAGCATAATAATATCTGTACAAAGGTACACTGCATTAAACACTAAACAGGCAACTTATATATTTGTAATATAATATAAGTTATAAGGGTGATCCACTCACATGAACATCTAGTGTTTTTTTTTTTTTTTTTAAAGTTGCAGTTAGTGTGGCACGGACATCACAATTAGTTTGGCATGGCATCAGGGAACTAGGAGAGCAGGATTTGAGCAGGTAAGAACCTGTGCGCTCTGGACTCTCTCTCTCCAGGCAGATCAGCAAGCACTACTGACATTCACAACGACAACTGCAAAACAGCCACAAGTTACAGGCAATATCAGACAGTGGAAGTCACAGGTCAGATGTGTGAGAGATACGCTGACATTTCTCTGTTTACCTGCTCTGTCTCACTGGTAGAATTTGATCTCGGCATCCATGAGGTCGAAGAATAGATCCCGAGCTCCTGGCCCTGTATCTCCCCCATAAGCATGGCCTCGATCTCCTCAAGACAGACTCCAGGTATCTCATAGTCTCCTTTAGAGAGACTCCAGCATTCTGACACAAACAAGCACACAGGGACGTTAAAGGACTATTGCAGATTCAGCGTAAGTTAAGACCAGTGAGAGCAGTTGTGGCATAATATTTGATGACTACAAAAATAATTTCCTATTGTTCCCCCTTTTAGCAAAAATATGGGTTACAGCCACTATATATATGTACAGTGCTGTGAAAAAGATTTTGCCCCCTTCCTGTTTTTTTATTTTTATTTTTTTGCATATTTGTCACACTTAAAAGATTCAGATCATCAAACAAATTTTAATATTACACAAAGATAATGCAAGTAAATACAAAATGCAGTTTTTAAATGATGATTTCATTTATTAAGGGAAAAAAGCTGTCCAAACCTACCTGGCCCTACGTGAAAAATTAATTGCCCCCCTCCTATTAAATCATGAAAGAACTGTGATTAACCAAATTATTTTAGAAAGCCGAGTTAAATTTCACTAGCCACACCCAGGCCTGGTCACTGCCAGACCTGTTGAATCAATTTAAATCACTTAAATAGAATCTGTCTGACAACGTGAAGCATGCTTAAAGAGCAACATATCATGCCGCGATCTAAAGAAATTCAAGA